CAAGGCCCCCGCTACTCAGTGTCAAACCCGGTGCCCGGTCTTGCTTTAGCGCCTGACTCTCTGTTAGTGTCCGTGGATGAGAAGGGCGCAGAGCGGCGACCTCTCCGCGCCTCCACCCTGCCTGCCCGCGGTGCCTGGGTGGGAATAGGATTGGGCCCGAGTCTGTTGCTCGTCGGAGGGGGGGAATGTCCCTCGGGCTTTGCTCCTAGCACACGGCGGCGCGCCGGTGGAACCCCCCACTTTTACCCCAGAAGGATTAAGGTCTTTCCAGTGATCCCATTGAGGTGCCATGACCCGAGTCAGGGGGTGAAACCTGGGGTTGGAGAAATGCCGCGGTCTCACCGGGTGACAGCCCCGGGGTCACCGAACCTTTCAAAATTACGCTCTCCTGTCTGGGTTTGAAAAAAAAAAGAAAACCTTTTCCAGGAGCCCTCCTGGCCGTGCGTCCCTCCCTGGGAGCTTTGGCTCCCCTCTGCGGTACGGGAAGGGGGGCAACCGCCTGATAAGACAGTTGCCATGACGGCCCGAGTTTCGGTTTCCTTGGCAACCGGCCGAAGGTTCCGCGTGCCGGGAAGGAGGCTGTGGGGGTGGGGCGGACGGCCTCGGTCGGCTGCAGCGGAGACAGAATCGGAACGGAGACTTTGGGGAGTAGGAGGGACTTAGGGCTCCCTGTCCGCGCGGGCTGGGGGCGGGGGACCCTGAGGTCTCCCTGTCGGTGCGCTTGGGAGACCTGGGGGCTGGACGGCCTCACGAGGTGATGGCAAAGAGGGTCCGCCAAGGCGAGGAGCCAGCGGTGGGGCGCCGTCCCTCCCCCGGCCCCAACTGCGGGTCACAGCCCTAAGGTAACTAGAGCCTGACTCGAGGGGCGGAGGCGCTGTTTCGCGGCGGCTTCCACCCGGCTGCTCCCTTCTCGCCTCCCTTGAGTCCGCGCCCTTCCGCCCTCCCTCCGGACCAGAGGGAGGAGCTGGCGCGCGTCCAGGCGGCTTCCTGGCACCCGGGAGGGGTGGGGCCGGGCTCACGGATTGGCCAGGCCGGGCAGGGCGGGGCTCCTGCGCGCGCGGATTGAGGGTGCGTCTGGCGAGGAGTGACGCAGCAAAGCCGGGGCCGCGTGGGTGCGCGCGTGCTCTGGGAGGGGCGGGGCCTCAGCCGTAAGGGGCGGAGGGTTTCAGAGAATCTCAGGGAGCTTTATTTCTGGGATGTTTTTTGCAAATACTTGGGCTTGAGTGTAAGTTACTGGTCCTTTAGTTATACTCAGACACGGCCTGGGAGCAAGTCCCTAACCAAATGCTGTGACATTTTGTGTGATAATCACTTTTCTCTTCTGTATTGTGGTAACACCAGACAGGGAAAAATAGTAGTATCTTTGTCATAGAGATGTTAGAATTGGGCCTCTACAAATACTACCTTAACAATTATGTAGTAGTAGTAAGGACAGAATGTAAAGTTCCCCTTAGCAGATATATACTTAGGGTGGGGAGCCTTGTTCTCATGAGGTGTGGATTTGAAAATAAATCAGAAATAGACACTCAGTAGGGCGAGCCGACTGAGCGCGTGGGTTTGGTGGACCTGGGTTGTCCTGGGGCTAGCAGTGGAAGCAGAAATAGAAGAAAACTTTTAAGACTGTCTATAAATCCTCAACTTCACTCATTTATTCATTCAGGTGCTTTTGGACAGCCCTGTGTCTGATTCTGAGAAAGCTGGAGCAAGGAGAAAAGCGGGGTCTCTGTCCTTAGGTTTTGTCTTAAGAGTAGCTTATAAACAAAACAGGACTATGCCATGAGGATGTAGTAGGGACAGGGATCACAGGATCAATTCTGGAGAGTTGGGGAAGTTGTTGCTGAGGAAGAGGCCTTTGAGCTGAGACCTAAAAGTCTCAGGGTAACCTAGGAAAGAGGTGGGCAGAGAGCCCAGCACAGGGCAGAGTTTTTCGGGAGGGAACAGGATGCATTTTTGGAAGTTGAATATGGCTGGGTCACCATGCAGAGATGGGGCAGGCAGGACACTAGATGGGAGTTGAAAGGAAGTAGTTGAGAGACCACATAGGATGTGCTCTGGCTTTAGTGTGCTGAGGTGGGAAGCTGTGGGAGGCTATAGCCCCCAACATGATCCAGACTGGCTTGGAGGTGGCAAAGAATTTGAAAAAAGCTGCAATGAAATGGACAGAAACAGAATGAGGAGTAGGCTGTTGCCAAACCACGCATCCAGACAATCTTAGAAAGGAAATGAGTTTAGGGATAGAAAAAAATATTTCATACAATAGGGAGAAAAAAGCAGGTGTTGCAGTACTTGTATCAGACAAAATAGACTTCAAAACAAAGAATGTCGCAAGAGACAAAGAAGGACATTACATATGATAAAGGGGTCAGTCCAACAAGAGGACACAACCATTGTAAATATCTATGCACCCAACACAGGAGCACCTACATATGTGAAACAAACACTAACAGAATTAAAGGAGGAAATAGATGCAATGCATATTTTAGGAGAATTCAACACACCACTCACTCCAAAGGACAGATCAACCAGACAGAAAATAAGGACATAGAGGCACTGAACAACACATTAGAACAGATGGACCTACCAGACATCTACAGAACTATACACCCAAAAGCAGCAGGCTACACATTCTTCTCAAGTGCACATGGACCATTTTCCAGAATAGACCACATACTAGGCCACAGAAACCTCAGTGAATTCAAAAAGATTGAAAGGAAATGGGTTTAAAATGAAGCAGTGTGGACTAAAGCTAGACCCTGGGATAACTCTCCAGGGGCCTCTGGTCCTGTAGAGAACTGTGCTAGTGAGAAGAGGAGGTTTTGGCAACTAACATTATCTTCTCTCTGAGCCAGAAAGCTACCCACCCTGTCAGCACCCAGGTTTGAGTGAGGGCTGACACACCACACACCCCATCATTGGTGTAGCCTCTCATCTGATGTCATGTCCTGCATTGGCCTCTCAGGGTAGAGCCAGCTGAGAAGCCAGCCAGGTGTGTGTATGTATGTTAAGGGGAGGGATCTTTATGGCAGAAATGTGAGGAGAAGCCGGTTAATCCCAAAGCCAGGATAATAGAGGTGGCTGTGTGTGGCCTGGCACTGGTGTAACAGAAGGGTAGAACTCGCAGGTTTCAGGCCAATATAGAGCTCAGCTGTATCTGGGTTATGTGTCATGGGCACTAACAGTTTGAGGTGCCCCAGGGAAATGGAATCGGGAAACTCAGGCCTAATGGGTACTGTGACTCTCTGGGGATGAGAGACAGGATAGAGGTAGGAACTAACATGCTTACGTCCTCACGATCCTGGGGCTACTGGCTCCCTGGCCTCTGGCAGGGTCAGAGGATAAAAGCTAACTATAGAAGAGCCCTTGCCCTCACTTACAGGGTTGGACTGGGACGGCGTGTGCTGAAGTGGAAGGGCAAACCGTGAAACACACAGGGAGTTGAATGAACCAGTTTCTGATTAAGTACTTCCTAGCAGTCTTGTTAAATGCTCAAGTGTGTGGAGGGCAGGAGGGGGTACTGGTGAGGGCGTGGGGTGGGGAAGGAAGTGGAGGAGGTAGGGACTCAGGTATGGTCTTGGAGCACGAGCAGATAAGACCTTGGGGATAGGATCCGCGAGTGTCTGGGAAGAGTGTTCAGAGAGTAAAACTAAGACAAGCTGTATGGTTTGGTGTGTGAAGGGCCAGTGAGCCCTCTACCTGGCTGGGACTGGCAAACTTTGTGTGCTAAGAACTCAGGAGCAGGTCAGGTGAGGGACTCAGGATGCAGCAGGCCAGGGTTGTCCATGTTGCCTGGTAGATCCAGTAGTCAAGACACAGTAGGTCCAAGGGGAAGCTGGCAGCAGGGAGGCCTGCAAGACTTGGATGAGTTGGTCTAATAAAGTGTCAGAATCAGGAAGTCATGGGGAATGAGAGAGACCTGGTATGGAAAGGAGTGAGAAGTATGACCCAAGCTGGTCTTGTGGATACTGAAGACCCTGCTGACGGGAGCAGTAGACAGGCTGGGAGGCTCGGTCCCCAGCACCTAGCTGGGGGGTCAGCCCAAGGGGCGCCAGGCTGCCTGTGGGCCTGGAGTTGAGGGGGAGGGTGTTGTGTGGTGGATAAGGGAGCTCCCACCTACTGTTCTTAGTGACATGGGTGGCGTCAGCTTCCTGGGGACCTGGATGAGGGATGGAGTCGCCTCCCAGGGGTGCTTTGAGTCAGTGCTGTTAAGTATGCCAAGAGCCATTTCTTACTGATCTCTGCAACTCCAGGACAGATGTGAAGGGTCAGGGCATGTTCTGGGGCCTGGGGGTTGTTCAGCAGCTTGGGGAGTTTGAAGGGCTGTGGTAAAAATAGGGCACTGTCAAGAGATAGCACAGGCAGGCACTGTGGGGACTAGCCCAGGAGGTCGGAGCAGAGGTGCCAAGCCAGCAGCTGCGGGGGACAAGGTGGAGGCAGGTCAAGAAGAAATACGGGGGATGTGGTGGGGGTCACAAAGTCCAGCAGTCACCCTCCAAGGACACTGACGTTCAGGAGACCAGTGCATGATGTGGTGGGGAGAAGAAAAGGGACCATTCGGGGTTCTGTAGGGAATGGGTTCCAGGAGGGTGGCTTGTGGCACCAGTGGCTGGTGTAGGATGGTGGTGGCAGAGGCCTGAGCACACCTGAGTCTGTTACCCTTTCTGTCCTTCCTACAGAAGTGGAGGGAGAGGCTGCCAGGAGGGTGTATGGGGCAAGAGTGAGGTAAAGCCCCTCAGGACAGGGTTGATGTGGGGATAGGACTGACCCTGGCCCCAGGCTCCAGGGTCTGTACTTCCTTTCAGTGGTGCCTGCTGGAGAGCCTGCAGTCCCCTGGACGCTAGGCCTCACAGGGTAGAGCCACAGCCAGGAGGCTGGTGTGATCTTTCCCAGCCCCTGTCAGCCTGGGCACCTGCTCCTGCAGATCGCCCACCCTGGTGGCACGGTGGTGGCTATGGGGAGATGTCTGTGGTACAGTGGGCCTCTTGGTTGCTGCTCAGAGTATCCTGCTGCCCCTTGCCCTGTTCTCCAGTCCCTGAAGAGGAAGGAGAAAGAATATGAGCATGAGATGGAGCGGCTGGCACGGGAGAAGATTGCCACGCAGCAGCGGCTGGCAGAGCTCAAGCACGAGCTGAGCCAGTGGATGGATGTGCTGGAGATCGACCGCATGCTCCGGCAGACAGGCCAGCCTGAGGACGACCAGGCCTCCACCTCTACTGCCTCCGGTGAGCTCCACTTGCCACCTGTTCAGTGTTACCTCTGCCCCTCAAATGCCAGCCTCTGTCCTTTTCTTTGCCTGCTAGAAAAGATGCCCCATCCCTTATTCCCCAGACCCCCGGGGCATCTACTCCTCCAGCTTCTTATTTCCCAAGCCCTTCTGACCTGTCCTTGTCCCTGTGGCCCCCCACAGAGGGTGAGGACAACATAGACGAGGATATGGAGGAGGACCAGGCTGGTCTGGGCCCACCTAAACTGAGCCATCGCCCCCACCCGGAGCTGCCGAAGCCACCACCCAGCACTGCCCCTGCACCTCTGCCTGCCCACCCACGCCCCCCTTCCCAGCCTGTGACCCTGTCTCCTGCCCACCTGCCCGGGCAGCAGCCACCACCACATCAGAAGACACCGCTGCCGGCACCTCCTCCCCCACCAGCTGCCCCTGCCCAAACGCTGGTTCCCGCTCAAGCCCATTTGGTGGCCACGGCTGGCGGAGGCTCCACGGTCATCGCCCACACAGCCACCACCCATGCCTCAGTCATCCAGACTGTGAACCACGTTCTACAGGGGCCGGGCGGCAAGCACATTGCCCACATTGCCCCCTCAGCCCCCAGCCCTGCTGTGCAGCTGGCACCTGCTACACCCCCCATTGGCCACATCACAGTGCACCCTGCCACCCTCAACCATGTGGCCCATCTCGGCTCCCAGCTGCCCCTGTACCCACAGCCTGTGGCAGTGAGCCAGCCTGTGGCAGTGAGCCACATTGCCCACACCCTCTCGCACCAGCAAGTGAATGGCACAGCTGGGCTGGGGCCCCCAGCCACAGTCATGGCAAAGCCAGCCGTAGGGGCTCAGATGGTGCATCACCCCCAGCTGGTGGGCCAGACAGTGCTGAACCCTGTGACCATGGTCACCATGCCCTCCTTCCCTGTCAGCACACTCAAGCTGGCTTGAGCATGTGGTCACTCAGAGGCCCCCCAGTGGGGGCAGGGAGGGGGACCTAGCCCCGACTCTCCCACCCACCAGCTCCACACATTCCAGCCAGGCCCAGGCCTACCCCACCCATACACACCCCCAGGCCTCCTAGCGGAAGGGGGTGCAGAGACTCTGAGCCAGGGGAGGGAGAGGCCAGCCCTGGGAGCTGGGCAGAGGGCCGAGGGTCACCCCACTGCACTAGGACTTGATAAAGTGATGAATGACACCCTGGTGAATGTGCCACCCATCCTGGTGTCAGCTCCAGTGCTGTTCCTGCCTCCCCACCCGTCCCCTGAAACCAGTGCGATGTGGACGTTGTGTTCTCTGCCTCCCCCACCCTGTCTCCTGCTGCTGCTATTGCTCTGCCTGGCGAGGTGAATGCGTGTCCCGGCCCTCCTGTCCCAAGCTCCAGCCTTCTCTTCCCAGGCCTTTGGAGGGGAAAGGGGGTAAGCAGAACTGAAGCAACTTGGCCCAGAAAACTGGGGACTATGGGAGGCCCTGCCCTGAGTACAGGTGACAGGTCTTGGGAAGCAGCTGGTCTGGAATTCCACCCAGATCGGTGGGCACCCCAGCCCGGGACTCTCCAACCCAGTGGCAGTCACTGTGATTTGTTAAACAGAAGCTAGTGAAAACGATTCTCCCACCAACCAACCAAACCCAAGCTGTTGCCAAGTTCCTTGAGCTCCCCCAATCCTTGCCATTGGCCCTGGGAGGGAAGGCGGATGGTTGGGTGAGGAAGGAAGGGCTTGGCTACCTTCCCCACCATTGGTCCCAGGGGAGCTCCTCTGGACCCCGGTTCCTACCCCGGGCGTAGCTGTTGGCTCCCAGGAGGAAGGTGCTGCCTGGCCTTGGCTGCCCTGGCTCCCTGGGCTCTGCTCAGCGCTGTGCACTTCCCTGAGGGCTGGGTGGGCCTGGGTGCTTCCTGTAGCCTGCGAGACATGGACCTGCCTCTGGTCTGGGTTCCAGAGCCTGAAGCTACACAGAAGGTTAAAATCCGGGGGCTCAGCCAAAGCCCCGAATCCCTTCCTAAACGCCCTGGGGACCTACAGGGAAGGGAGCAGGCCCAGACTCGAGGACAGCTGCTGCTTCTACCCCAACTTCTCGTCTCTGGTCTCTTCCCAACCTCTCTTTCCGCTAAACATCCCCTTCTCCAGGGGCTCTTCTGAGTGGACCCTCCCTCGTGGGGGCTGCTGTGTGCCACCACCTTCCTGAGGAAAGGTCCTTGGTTGGGCTAAGGGCAGGGCCGAGCTGGGGTGGTCCCCGAATCCCTTCCTAAACGCCCTGGGGACCTACAGGGAAGGGAGCAGGCCCAGACTCGAGGACAGCTGCTGCTTCTACCCCAACTTCTCGTCTCTGGTCTCTTCCCAACCTCTCTTTCCGCTAAACATCCCCTTCTCCAGGGGCTCTTCTGAGTGGACCCTCCCTCGTGGGGGCTGCTGTGTGCCACCACCTTCCTGAGGAAAGGTCCTTGGTTGGGCTAAGGGCAGGGCCGAGCTGGGGTGGGGTGGCGTGAGGGGGCCTGGGTTTAGGGGATGCTCGTTTCCCTGTCTCTGCCTTGGCAGACTGCTTTGGCTTCTCTTTTTATGTGGGTATTTATTACAAGTGGCCTTGTGTCCAATACTCAGTTACACACACGTGCACACTCGACTCCCCACCTGGACACACACCAATGGCCTTTCAGTGTGGGGCAGGAAGCGAGTGTCTCTAGGTGTGAAGCTTGCATTGGCAGGCAGGTCAGGGCAGTGCCCTTTGGGACACTGAGGAGGCCAGCAACAGTCTTGAATGAATTTAGACACCTAAGAACCTTTCAGTTCCTTCCTGGTCTAGGAGACCAAAGGCCTATTGCCTCCTTAGAGGCCTCTAGGAGTAAGCCCCATACCCACCTCAACACAGTGCCCCCACTTAACAAGCTTGCTGCCTTCCTGCTCCTGTAGCCACCTGCTACCCATGTTCTGGGGTCAGCGGGCAGGATTGCTCTCCCCTGTGTGATCACAATGGAAAGAGCAGAGGAACAGGGGCAGGTTTGGTGCCCAGGGAAGTCGGTGAAGCACGGTGGACCTGCCCCTCCTCTCGGCTCTGTTCACCTCCTGCATTCTGAGGCCGGTTCAGAGTTAAAACTCATGCCAGCCAGCTGTCCCTTGGCCTGCAGATACCTCACCTGCCCCCAGCAGTGGGGCCCCTGAATCTAGTGCCGAATGACTATGTCCAGATTGGTGACGGTGGGTGGTGTTGCTGTTTGTGTCGTTAGTGAAGCTGTGATGCTGTGTGCCCTCGGGCAGCCACCGCCCAGCCCTTCCTGGGCACCCCCCTCTGAGTTGTCAGGACCACATCTGTCCTCATCCTGTGGGACCTCCTGCCCCTCCCCTCCCTAGCCCTTCCAGCCTAGAGGACATGCATGTGCACGCATGCGTGCACACACACACACACACACATAACTCATGCCAGCCAGCTGTCCCTTGGCCTGCAGATACCTCACCTGCCCCCAGCAGTGGGGCCCCTGAATCTAGTGCCGAATGACTATGTCCAGATTGGTGACGGTGGGTGGTGTTGCTGTTTGTGTCGTTAGTGAAGCTGTGATGCTGTGTGCCCTCGGGCAGCCACCGCCCAGCCCTTCCTGGGCACCCCCCTCTGAGTTGTCAGGACCACATCTGTCCTCATCCTGTGGGACCTCCTGCCCCTCCCCTCCCTAGCCCTTCCAGCCTAGAGGACATGCATGTGCACGCATGCGTGCACACACACACACACACACATCTTACCTCTCATGCGTGTTTTACTTATTGATGTTCAGAGTGGCTCACTGGCTGGGAGTCTTTACCTCGGGGAGAGGGAAGGTTGGTTCCTTGGGAGGCCAAAGAAGGGCAGGGAGTGCCTGGTGGGGAGTCAGGGGTCACCATAACCTCTGCTCTCCAGGAATAGTTCTCCATCCCAGGTTCTCACCCCCGTCCCCCAAAGAGGTGACCCTTGTTTACAGTGAGAACTCGGTCACTGTGTCTCCGTTTCCTGAAATATAAACTGTAGCGACCCCAGACTGTAGAAATTTTTATGTGTTTGGATACATCTGCTGTGTGGGAAAAAAATACAAAAACCCTAATTTTGTACATATTGTATTTTTACTATTGAACTGTATTCTAGTGGCTGTTCATGCTCCAAGACTTTAGGTATTGAGACATGAATACTATCCATGTAATAAGCACTTGCCTGGAATAAAATATAAAACTGAAATAAACCTGCACTGAAACCTGAGCTGGAGCCACCAGCCTGCACCATCTGGGTCATTTTGTTGCAACAAGAGGCAGAGACCTTCAGGAAAGGCCTCCAGCTAGAAGCATCAGGGCCCTTACCCTGTTGATGTTTGGGGGATGCTATTTCTCACACCACTTGCATGCATGTCAGTTTTAGAAAAAGATTTGGGACCCTCCAGTTCTTACCCTAAAGCTCAATCCTCAGCAGGCTCTGAGAACTGCAGTTCTGGTCATCCTTATACTTTTGCAATACTTTATACTTCCTCAAACCATTTTCACAAACATTATCTTGTTTCATCTCTTAACAGCATGGTGAAGTAAATAAGCCAAGAACCAGCCCCATCTGGCAGATTAGAAACAGGTCTGAGGTGGCTGAGAGACTTATAAGGCCATGCATCTTAGTCTGGGACCTTGTGGAGCTGCAGTCAGGTCTCAACTCGTGTGGGGTTCCCCCAAGCATGTGACGCCCTGCCCCTGAGGCCTGGCGTAGCACTGGGGATCCTGAACTCAAGGAAGTCCCAGTGGGAAATGGTGAAGGGGAGTAGCCCCAGGATCCGCGCACAGAAGGGTCAGAGGCTTCCTGAGGGGATGCACTTGTGGGGTTAGAACAGGTCATCTGAGTAGTCTGTAAGGCCGGCCCCTCAGGAAAAGGAACAAGAAGAGGAAGTAGTTGGTCAGGCGTCAAAAGAACCGTGTTCTAACCTGGGCCTGGAGGACCTTTGTCCCTATGACATCTTCGCTCCCCAGTTTGGGGGACAGTAGCCCTTTGGCAGGCTGTCTCAAGTGGGGAGGTGAGGAAGACTGAGGCCAAGGAGCAGTAAGCCGGGACTGGCTGTAGACCAGCACCTACCTCATCTCACTCCCATCTCACCTACCCCACTCCAGCCCCAGGGCACTGACTTAAATTCTCTTCTCAGGGTGGATCTGGGGATATGGGGGTTATCCTTAGGGAAGAGAGTGGTGGCTGTGAGGGTCTTGGGGTCCCATTCCCAAGAATTACCAGCCTCAACAAAGGCCGGCCCCTTTCTCTTGTGAGGTGCTGGCTCCCTCTGCTGGTAACTCCAGTAAGCTGGGCCGCTCCACCCCAGGGACAGCCAACGGTTAGGATTAGTATTTCCTAAATACCCATTCAGTGTCAGTCAGACACTGCCCAGCCCTGAGGACAGAGAGGAAGTGATGCCCCTGGAAGTGATGACCCGGAATCCTGAGGGCTACCACTGTATCTTAAGGGGTAAGCAGAAACTCCCCTCCTGCACTCCAAGGACAGCCCCCCACTGAGAGAGGGACTTACGGTCAGAGAAATGGAAAACAAAAACTCCCAAATTGAAATCCAGGTGCTTCCACTTAAACTAGCCCTGCTCTGTAAGAGAGACAACTTACTTCCAGGGTTGGAGGAATCTGAGGTAGTGTTTATAGTGTCCTGCAGCTGTCCTGCTCTTATCTATACACACATTGCCCTTGGCAGGTTCATCACTTCAGCTGTGGGATTCTTGCTGGTCCTGGAAGCCCAGCCAGGGGCCTCCAGCACCTCTGCGTGGCGTAGGGAAGGGGTAGGAGCGTGTGAAGGGACCAGGCCACTCCCAGGTAGTTTATTGGGAGCCTTTGGTGAACACCTTTCAGGTGGAGTCACAGCAGGGGAAATTCTGATTTTTCCAGGCAACAGGATGAGCTGGGGGTGGGGGAGGTGTTCCCTGGAGGGGCTTATAAGGTACCCCAGCCTGAAGCATCCCGTGTCAACTAGCTTCCTTTCGTCACAGCTCAAGTGAGTTAACAGACCCTAATGCTCAGAAAGCCAGTGTTCTCTAGATCAGACCACAAGCTGGTGACTAGAGCTACTAGGATCCATGTATGATTGAAACAGGGTCCTCTGAGGCAGGGGAAGGCAGGTACTTTTCCATGTTGGGCTGCCTCAGTTGGGCTTTTCCATGCCTTGGCAGGTTTGCCCCCTCCTGACACTCCCCCCATGCTCCAGCCTAAAGCAGGCATCTCTAAGACTGCTTAGTGGGCAGGATCCTAGGCCAGAGGGCCAGGGTCCTTCCCCACTGGCTGCAGAGAAAGGCAGGGTTCCTGCAGATTCCCAGTCAAGCACCAGCTCATCACTGCAGCCAGTCAGGAGGGCAGGCAGGCTGGGGAAGGGATGGGACAGGGACCTGTGCTCATCCAGAGGTTGAACAGGCCGTTGCCTCTTACACAAGATCACTGGCTCTGAGGCAAGGTCCTCCCAAGGGCTTTCTCTGAGTATTTGGGATCTGTCTATCACCCCTGCCCCTGACCAGCCCATAGCCAACACTCCTCTCTCCGAGACACTTTAGTTCTCTCTTTTTGCCACCCTTGCCTTGTGGGACTAGTCCACTTTATCATTCAGTTGTGCAGCTTACAGAATTCCCCAACACACAAAGTCACTCACTGTCCAGTGCCAGGCCACAGGCAGCCCCCAGAGCCTTAAGCATTGCCAAATGCTGTGTTTATTGGTCTGTTACACTGAAAATTATAGTTTCTGAGCCAAAAAACATACACACTGTGCTTCTCACAAAACCACTGAGTCACTAAGGCAGGCACACAATGGCCACCGTGCTTGGTGGAGGCCAAGGACTCACAGATGATTGGGGCGGGCTGGCCCACAAGAGGCCATGTGTTGCCCAGGGTAGGGGTGGTCTGGGGAGACTGCTGGATGCAGAGGGGCTGCTGGGGCCTTTTACATGTTTCTCAAATGCAGGTTTCCAGACCTTAGCGACTGCTGGGCAGGCCCCAGCCCCTGTGGCAGTACAAGGCCTAGCTTGCATGTGTTCAGTGGTGGAAGGGAAATAGGAATGACAGAGCAAGCAATGTGCCTAGGCCTGGTGTCAAGAACTGGGCCCTTTCTAGCACCCCAGTGAGCAAGGCTCCTCCAAGGGGGGTTCTGGGTCTCTAGGCCCCTCAGCATGCTGGGAAGCATGTGGTAGGCAAAGCTGGCCCCGCTTCTCATCAGGGACAAACGGGAGACCCATGCACTGTCCTCACCCCAGCCTCAGGGACTCAGGAGATGCCTGGGATAGGTGGTGGGCTGCCCCACAGCTCTGGGGCCCGTTCCTGAGGGGGGCTGTGACAGGACTGCCTCCCTAAAAAATCAGCATGGGACTGATTCTCCCATGAAGAACAAATGCTCCCACCACATTCTAGACCACCCAGTTGGCAAAGCGCCATTTATACAGTTTTCAGGGCTGCATTTAATGCATAAAGCAAGAGCAGGATGGTGAGAGAGACTGTGCAGATGCATGTGGGTGTGCTGTATAGGCTGGGGCAGGGCACAGGGTCACCTCAGGTGGCCAAGGCGGTAGCAGTGTTCCTACCCAGTGAGCTGCTCCTGCCCAGGGCCCACATCTTACGACTGCCTCACAGTCTCAGTGGAGGGCCTGGAAGGCAGCCCGGGCCTCCTGCACCCAGGACACACACCCAATCCAGCAGCTGTTCTGGCTGCTCCAGCTGAGGCTGGGTATACCAGCAAAAGGACTCACAGAAGAGGGACAGCACAGAATCTCCTTGCCCGCATGACCCTCGCCAGGGCTGTAGTCGCCTGGGCCCCAGACTGACCCGGGAGAGGCCAAAGGGAGCAGGCCAGGCTGAGGCTGCAGGTGGCAGTGGGATTATTCCTAAGTGTTAGAGAGGGGAGCACAACAGGTGTCCCCCAAGGCAGCTGCTCCCTGAGGCCTGAGGGCATCCTGGTCCCTGACCTGCCCTGTGGGGCCATCACTGCCCGGAGTCAGATCCCAGGCTCACAAGCACTTTGTCGACAACACAGTGGGGCAGGCAGGGCCACTGGGGCCAGGGCAGTCTTGGCTGAACTGCCTCTGCACTTCTCCCTGCGGTGGCCCCACTGGGCTCTGGCCGGCTGCTGCCTCTGGCCACAGCCCTCACTTGTTCTCTATGAGCATCTGCACCTTGTGGACGAGGTCCCGGGCAATCCGCAGGATATCCTGGGCGTCATGATGCTCAGCCCGTTCTGGGAGAAGCATAGATAACTGTGGGGATGCTGGAATGGGTTAGTAGTCTGTGAGGAGCCCTGTGGCTGCCCACCCTGCTCTGTCTCTGCCTGCTGGACTCCTGACATCTGCTGATGGGGAGTATTTCTGAGAGCCCCTCTATCCCTGACCCAGCCAGGAGTGGGGACCCCCATGCCCCTGCTGGGGGCAGCCAGGATGGCTGGACCAGCTCCTACCATTGAAGAACTTGATAATATCGGTGAAGTCCATGTTGTTGTCACGGATAATCTCACGGTAGGCCTCCACCAGAGCCAGGGCAATGAACAGGACAAAGTGCTCCGATGAGATGTGCCGGGCCGCCCAGATCACCTCCCACACAGCAAACACATCCTCATAGAGTAGCTCTGGGGACGGGAGAGGGCTAAGGCTAAGCCTGGCTGCCCAGGGGGCTCTAGATGGAGCCACATTCAGACACAGAGCTCCAGGGGCCAGAGCCCTGGCATTCTCCCCATACACAGAGCATGGTCCAAGAGGGGACTTCCATGCCCCAGGCCAAGACCCTGTCCTTCTCCTTAGTAATTCCTGCACACTGGGCTCTGACAGACACCACATCCACACTGTCACCTAGAACAGCTCTACTTTTATAGGCCTTGGGGCCTGGGAAGATTTGGTTTGAAAGCAGTGATTTTCAACCCTGGCGGCACTTTGGAATCACCAAGGAGCTCTGGCAACTGTGGATGCCTAAGCAGCCACACTTAGTAAGTTGGAGGTTCAGTGGGGCCCAGGGCACTGGTGCATCTAAAAAGCTCCCCAGTGGTTTCAGAGTGCAGGTAGGGTTGAGAACCACTGGCTTTGGGCAAGAGGGATCTCCTACTGCCTGGACCTCTGCCCTCTCATCCAACCCACCTCTTACCTCTCTTAAAATCCAGCAGGAACCAGCGGTAACAGAAATAGAAGTGGGTGTAGTCTCCATTCTGATGCATCAGTTCAAACAGCTCTGAGTCCAGGATCTTGTGTGTGGAGAAAGGGAGACAGACTGAGTGGATGCTACCTCTCTGGGCCTCCCTCACCTTCTGCAGGGTCTCGCACAGTGCCTGGTAGCTGCACTCACGCCCCCTCCAGTCTCCGTGGGTGGACGCTGCACTCTGCTGCCCTACCCGTCTCCCTGGGAGAAACTCTTTTTGGATTTAATATTGTTTTCTGAGTGTTTGATTTCATCATCAACCACACTGCTCGCCAGGACTTCCTGGCCTCCCCGCGGATGGACAAGCCCAGCAGCCACAGTCACTTGCCTGGGGGCAGCTGCAGACCTCACCTGAATGAGGGAGCGCATGTTGGCGAAGTGGATGTCCATAGCGCCCCCATTGGGGAAATTCTGGCTCATCCTCTTCATGAGGAGGCTGAAACAGCTGTAGGCCAGCTGATCTGAGGGGAGAGGGAGTGAGGCTGGCAGGCAGGAGACCCCTGCCTGCTTCACTTCACCGGGGGTGTCCTGGGGCCCAGAGAACAGGGCTGACACAGTACTGCCCTTCCAGACCGAGAGGTCTTTTCCCTTTTCTAGTTTATATCAGCTCAATCCTAATACCATTTTGGGAACGCCTTCTGCCCCCATTGCCAGTAGTAGCCCTCACCATTGTCGAGGATGACCAGAAGAGGTGCCAGCAGGTCACACATGCCCTGCACATAACCAATGTCCAGGTGTTCCCACACGTAGCTGAAATGCCAGGGACAGAACCACTGAGTATGCACCATCTGCCCCTCCCCCTGGGGAGACGGCCCCTGAGAGCACCCTGTCCCCAAGCCGTCAACCTTTCTGTGACCTAAAGCACTGGGAGTGCGATGGTGAACTTCCCACAAGCCCTCTCCTCAAGGCACTTGGGGCTCAGGGAAGAGACGAACAGGCCGTCACTGCTTGGTATGTGGGGGTGGGGAAGTCAGCTAAGGTTTCCTGAAGAGGTGTGGCTGGAGCTGAGCTCTAAAAGACCTCTAAGAAAAGGAGGGTGGGGTGGGGGTGTGGCAGGTAAAGGGTACAGACAGAGGGAGCCCGGAGTGATGCAGTGCTGGGGAGAGGAGCACGGGGGCTGCCTAGCCCCCATGGAGCAGGGCCCCTGCTTCCACCCTGAACCCTGCCCCTCACTGGCACCTGCACATGATGTCTCTGAGCCTCTCGAGGTTGGGGGACGTGAAGTACCAGTAATTACGGTCACATCGCTGCACATCTTTGTCTATACGGTGTAGATTTAAGGCCACAGTGTCCAGTAATTCTATCTGAAAGAGTGGAGGCCCTGCAGGCATGAGTGGGGGCCCTGCAGGCATGAGTGGGGGCCGAGGTGATGCCTACATAAAGGAACACAGCAAAGGCAGGAACCAAGGGACTGAGAGGACAGAGTCCTCTGGGGATGCTGTGAGATGAGCTCAGTGCCCCCTCCAGGACAGTCAGGGCACCCCCACCTGCCACCCACCAGCCCATCCCCAAGCACCAGGATGCTAGGAGGACCTCTGGGGCCAGCTGATAACAGTGCCCAGGGAACATCCACATACAGTATAGGCAGCTGCAAGCTCCTCTCTGGCTTCCAGCTCGCTGGCCTGTGAGGCCTTCTCCTGGCTGGGATCTTGGGGCTCAGAGAAAGTGTGGGGCACAGGGACTGGCCTGTCGGAGTCTTCCTCCCCACCGCCGTCTTCCTCCTCGAAGCCCAAGCTCTGTCCCTCATCTATGCTTGACTGGATGCCCGAGGCCACAGAGTAATTGCGAGAGGAAGGCAGTCCTGAGTCTGGAGAGTCAAACTCTACTGACTGCTGCTGCTCCACTATGGTGGTGTCCGCAGGCCCTGCTCCCAGTTCCTGCTCAGCCTCTGGCCTGGCATCCTCAGGGCCCGGGAGCCTTGGGGGCTCTAGGTCATCCACAGAGACAAATACCTGGTGGCGGGGAAGAGACGGCAGGGCTCACACCTGTGCTCACACCTTCCCTCTGCTTGTCATCTCCCTGGGTTAGAACGAGAGGGCTGGAGAACTTTCTCCACTTCCTCTGCTGCCGCCCCAGGGCCTCTGAGTGGGTGCCAAGTCTCCCCTTCAGATAATCAGGCTCGGGGCAAACATGAAGATACTGTCTTTAGCCCTGTCGGGCCTCCACTCCTCAGACCTCTTCCTGGAGCCTGAGAAAAAGTGGGAAGCCCTCCAGGACTACCTGTGGCTGCTACAGGAAAGCAGGGGAACCAGAGGCCTAGACACTTGATAGCCAGTGTGAGCTAAGTGTAATTCTACAAATACGTGAAGTCAGGAGGCTGCCTCTGGTCAGGAGAGCTTTGTTAGTGTCTGGGGCAGCCTGCCTGGGGGACAGCAAGCTGGAGGTGTTAGGAAAACAAGTTCTTCATATTCAGTACTGACTGTTCAGCAGAACAAGGCAGGAAACTTCTCTAGCAAGTGCCTAATCACTTAGATTAGCTTCAGACAAGCTGAGGAGCGGTAAGAAGCAAAAGGAGGTTAAGAATGTGTCATACTGATTGGAAACAGTCCTTCACTCACCGTGGACAAACTAGATGGAAAGCTAGAGACATATACAGACTCTTTTCTTTTCCTTTGCCTAGTAGACTGTACGGAAAGGGATCCTAAGAGTAGTTTTCACTTTGGGCAGAGTGCATACATGCTGCTGGGTTGGTGGCAGGTAAGGCCCTGATCCTAAGGCAATCCAAAGCCGCAGAATAGTGCCAGCAAGGAAGGCTACTGCTGCCAGCGGGCCAGGCAGCTGGGACACTGGCACAGACTCAGGATTTTACAAACCCAAAGCCAGACAGAAAGAGAGTATGTTCACAACTAGGGGACTGAGAACAAAGCACATGGAAAGAAAACTGTGGCTTGGTAGTTTTAATTCTTTATGTCTTGCTCCAGCTTGAGTTTTCTGTTAATGTCAGTAAGGATTTAGTAAAGTGATAAAAATATATATTATCTAAAGAAAATTTTAAAGAAAAAACGTAAGTTAGGAAGAAAAGCATCCTTAAAACTGAAACTTCTTCTCAGTTCTGGTTAGGCCCAGCAGCCATGGCTTGGGACTTGCTGTTCAACCAAAGGAGGGATGATGTCAGAACTGTGTGGGCCCTGAGCTGGCTTTGCCTAGTCAGTTCTATGAAGGGATGGGCACACCATGGTGGGAGGGGAGGGCTTGCCAGCAGATGCCACTAAGTGCTCCCCTGGGCTCTGACCAGTAGCTCCCGGGGAAGCCCCCACAATCAGAGGCCAGCAGAGCTGAGAGGGGCACTGAGTCCCAGAGATGGGAAGAGAATTTACTCATCTTGTCAGTAGTGGACCAGGGACTAAAACCCAGGGCTGCCTACGTCTAGCCTCGAGGTCTCTCTACAAGGAAGGTGGGCTTTCCTAAATGTTGATAAATCCATCTTCCCCTGCTAGTCCATGAAAACAAAACACAGTGTGCACTATCTCATTTTATTCCTGTAACACCCAGAGAAGTGGGCAGCAGGGGGACGTTATCCCATTTTTCAGTGGAAGGAAATGAGACACAGACATACTGAGCCATTCTCCCAGGGCTCCACTGACAGTTTGTCCTAGAGGTTGGGCTGGGGCTCAGGACTCCTGTGCATTAATGGTGGTGGCCCCTGTCACCCGGCCCCCCAGGTCCCATCTGGCTCACATCGTTGCTGATGGTGGAATCTCGGTGGAGGAGGCGCTGCACGTGGCTGTCGATGCTGCTGCCGGAGGAGAACTTGGCAAGCGTGGCTGGGTGAGCGTCCCGCTCCCGCTGCCTCACCACCTCCTCGCAGGCCTTCCACTCTGCCAACACCTGCTGGAACCTCGCTGCCACTGCGGAGTCCACCTGTACTCAGACCACACCGTGACCATGGAGGGTGCACCAGGCCCTCTGCAGCTGTCCTGCTGGGACAGCTGGACACTAGGGTCAGGCCAAGGGGTGAGGACCGTGGGGCTGCTCTGTTAACATCCTCCTTCTGGGGTCTCTTGCCCAGCTCCTTATCACCCTGTCCCTGTGGGAACAGGCTCCCCCTTACCTGCTCCATCTCCTTCTTGCTCATGCCAAACTTGTAGTGGCCAAGCAGAAAGGGCCAGACATCCTTACGAATCTCATGCTCCACACCTCCATAGTAAACTTGCCTCAGCAGCTCCAGCTCCTTGTAGTTCTGAGAAACCCAAGGAGTAAAGGTCACTGCAGCCCAGCTGGGTGACCCCGGCCCGTGGACAGCTGGGGCTGGGGACCATGACTCAGTAACTCAGCCGCAGCCCAGGCAAACCCTGCTTTGGGGCCGTCACATCCTCCCCGCCCCAGATGGGAGCTGGATGAGGTCTCCTTCAACCCCGCTCCCTCCACGGTAGACAACAGAGCCCAGAGAGATTCAGAGATTTGTCCTAGGTTTCAGAGTAACGTGGAAGCAGAATGAGATCGGTCTAGTCTCCTTTCCGTGGAAACCCAGACCCAGCTGTGTGAGATTCTACCATGACCCGGGGTACTCCAAGGCCCTCCGTCTCGGCCTGTCAACCCCAACCCCACTCCACTTTACCTGCAGGCCACTTTGGTCTGAAAACTGCTCCCAGAGAAGGCTGGGCTGCACCCACTGCTGCTTTCCCAGCCCCTGGCCCAGGCCTCCGGCCCTGGCACCAGCCTGTGCACCTTTTCATCCTTCTGGTACTTGCTCCACACGTCCTTGTTGAGGCCCCTTGAGGCCCCCGGGGGCCGGGCAGGTGGAATGATGTTGTGATGTACCAGTGCTGACAGGTGGGTCCGCACCGTGGATAGGTGGCGGCAGTAGGCCAGCCCTGAGGGGCGGGGGAGCAGCACGCATGCCTGTGGTGCCTTGTGCTGCCCAGCCCAGTCCAGCCCCGACCTCTCCTCACCCCATACTCACAGCCGTAGAAGGCCCGGGACACGATCTGCCTCTTCATGCTCTCACACAGTAGCCTGAGGGGCAACCTATGGAAACAGCCTGGCTCAGAGGGGAGGGGGCTATGGCCCCTCTGGTGGGAGAAGGTTGAGAAAGGAGGATATTTTGGTTTGGGGGGCAGGTCAAGATTGGTGCAGGGACCAGGAACTGCAGCCCGACTCCATGTCAGCAGGCTCCCTGTTCCTGTCAGCTCCCCTGGACAGAGCTGCAGGAGACCCAGCCTGGCCCCTAGTCACCCAGGGGGCCTCAGGTGGCTAACTGCATGTCATATTAGTGGATCTTAGTTTCCTCATGTGAAATGGACAGAACCATCTCAGGGTCATCAAGAGGAACAGATAAAATTGAAGTTAAAGGTAAAAGACAGCAGCCGGCAAAAGCATCAAGTACTGGCACACAGCAGATGCTTAGCTATCTGTTGCATGCCCTCAGATGTACAACCTGACGGCAGGGTCTATGTCCAAATTCAGAAGGGGAGCTTACAAGTATGAGCACCTACTATGTGCCATGTACAGCTCTGGGCACTCACATGGGTTATATGCCTGATTTGGTCCTCACAAGGACCTTACGAAGAAGGTGGTATTATCTCCATATTACAGTTGAGGAAACTAAGGCTCAGAAACAGAGGCTCATAGATTCGGCAACTTGCCAAAGTTACATGGGTAACACAAGTGACATTTGAACCCATATCTGTCCAACTCAGGGCCACCGTGCCAAACAAGTGACACAGCCCCTAGGACAGACTTGACAACACAAACATGGATGGACATGCCCACAGGGAGCTGGAGTTCCAGGTCCTGCCCACTCACCGGTCAGGGACACAGTTGCAATGGCAGGGGGTTGTATATGGGGAGCTGTTGGTAGAACAGGAAAGGCAGAAGGATCCCTGGCTGCACACAGGTTCCAGGTGCCAGGCTGGCAGGCTGGACCCAAAGCCCTGCATCTCAATCACGTCACCAGCATCTGAGGGCAGGAAGGGGGCCATGGTCAAGGCCTGGCAGCTCTCTTCCCCCAAGCACCCCACAGCATGCCCACCTCTGCCCAGAGCTGCAGGATGAAGTCATCCGTTGGTGGAAAACCACAGGGGTGGTGCCTGCCTCGTTCAGAGCTGAGATGGAAATGGTGGACAGAAAGGTGCCTGACACTTCCCAGCCTCCACCTAGTCTTCTGCATGTGATAAAAAATGCTTTGTGTCATGAATGGTTGTGTCTGTTCTCTCCATCTTGCCATCAGCAATGGAATAAACACTTGTTTTTCTAGATGAAAGAAGAAAAAGAAGGAACAACAAAAACCTGAGTTCTCTGAAGTGCCTCCAGCTAGCTTGGCCTTGGAGGATTCACCCTGATCCTCTTGGGCGAACTCAGACATGCAGGAAGGTGCCTGGAACACTGAAAACTTTGAACCTTCCCATACCTGGAGTCTCCACTGACTGAAGCCCCTGATGATCCCTGAGCCACTGGCTGTGGCCCATAGACCCTGCCCCTCTGAGGGCTCCAGGCCTGGTGGCCAGAGGCTGAGGAGGAGCAGGGCTGCCCATTCATGTGGGTCCATCTTGAGTTCTCCATTTCCACCTAGCCTGACTGCACTCAACACAGTGGCATCCTACAAACACACTGGTGAGCTGAGCAAGGACACAATGCCTGGGGCTGCCAGGCCACTGTGGGGCTGGGGGTGATGGTTGGGCATACAGTTCTACCACCCAGAAGAATATGTCAGGCGTAGCCTCAGAATATGGCTCTTTGGACGTGTCTACACCACCAGCAGACGAAGCCTTCTTACCAGCCCAGCTGGTCTGAATCAGAACCCAAGACCCTTGAGAGCTTCTAGGGCCCAAGTAGGGCAGGCCACTGCTCATGGAGGCCTCTGGCAGGTCCAGTGAGCCACAAAGACAAAACAGAGTGAGGGCAGGAAGTAAAAGGACTGGGAGATGATGCCAGGAGGGAGGGAGAAAGCAGGGAAGAGCGAAGACGAATAAGGAAAGAGAGAGCTGTGTGTGTGAGACAAAGACTTCTTTCCAGCAGTATTTTTTCCTGCAAATCAAGGCCTGGGCCCTAGCCTGCCATGAGTTTAGAGCAGACACACGCCTAGTTTTTGTGAGAGCCAGACTGCAGCCTGGGCGTGCCTTGCTGGGGAGGGCTGAGCTGAGCCCCCTTAGTCCCCACAGGGGCTACCCTGTCTTGACCCTGGGACTTCTCCCAGACCCACTGCTGGGAATTCTGTAGATATCTGGCCCTTCAGCTCCACTAAGAGGCAAATTAAGGGACCATACTTGGTGTGGAGGGGCTGTGGCCCTGGAAGTGAGGAGTTGCAAGCCATGCCTGAGACTAGGGGCAAGGGGGTGGGGTGGGGTGGGGAGAGGGAAGGGACAGATGCAGGTGGGGTGGGGCAGGAGCCCAGCTCATGGCCCTGCAGCAGGCAGAAGAGAGGCAAGTGGTGGGAGGAGCCAGGGCAGGAGCAAGCCCAGGCAGGCAGGTAGCAGGTGGCAGACGGGCAGGTAGGGGGCAACAGGTGCAGAGGGCAGAGGGTGGGCACACAGGGAAACAAGCTCATTCCCAGAAAGCAGGGCCCAACCAAGGCAAGTCTCCTGGGTCAATGCTCTTCACCTTAATTCTCCAGGAAGGAGCTGAACCAGCCAGTACTGAACACTGCATCTCTGAATTAACCCAGTGCAGATAGCTGGAGCTCTGGAGTGACTGGGTGAGGGGCAGCAGGCTGGACGGGGGGTGCTTCTGGGCCAGCTTTGACTCTGACTCTCTCCTCTGAGCATGAGGAAAGTCTGAAGCAAAACAATCAGGGTGGTTGAACCCCACAGCCCCTAAGACTCCGAGTGAAAGGTGCCTGGCCTGGAGCAGAATTAGAGTGAACAGCATCTCTGTCTGCTCTGTGGGGAGGCAGCAGGAAAAGGAGGGGGGAGGATGGGAGAGGGAGAGGAGAGTCTGGGCACCCGCCACTTGATTCACATGCACAAGTCAAGCATGTTCCAGGCCTGAAAAGCAACGCTAGCAGGACGGACTCAACAGTGTTGTCATTACGGACTAGAGTAGAGGTAGGTGCTCCCACACCGTCCCCACAGCCACCTGCTGATTCTGCTCACTCCTCCCCTTTCCCAAGCACGCTGGGTTGCTGTGGCCTCTGCGCTCCCCAAGAGGATGCCCAGATCAGCCCTTAGGCCTCTGGGCCCCTAGGCCCCTTGGGCCTGGAGGTTTTTCTCTGACCCTGGAGGCCTCAGCCCTGAGACTAGTCAGGGATGGGCTTCCCATCACCAAGTCTGCCAAGACTAGGAATCTGCTGGGATGCCCCAGCCTCCAGCCTACCAGTTTGTGGGGTAAGAAAGGGCTCTCTGGCCCTCCTGACTCAGCCATCCCATACCGCTCAAAGGCACTTAACCTGCAAATGAGCATCAGCCCTGGGACCAGGTTTGCAAGGAACCAGATGTTAGGCCACGAGCAGGCTATAAACATCAGAAGTGAGGTTCCCCCATGTTTCCATGGGGCTGTCCTACTGTGAGGGCTGGGAGGGAGGGTCGGCATGAGGACGGGCATGTGGCGGGTAAGGGGTCAGCTAGCGGGGCTGTGCTGAGGCTGTACTTGGTGTGTTCTAGGCCATGGACTTGATTGTCCAGGGATGTGCAGATTCATTACTGGCTTGGTGGCTGGGCTAAAGAACTGGGCTCTTTGGCTGGGCTCTGCGGAGACGTAAGGAAAGTGTCACATCATCTTAGACACTCTCTGCAGGGGCAAGGGAAGAGAAGAAGACATTAACTCTGTGGCGTGGGAATGGATGGGGATGAAGAGGGCTGGTTTCAGCCCCTTCATAGCCAATCTCCCCTTGGATGCCCTGGTCTAGCCCTCACAGGGCCCCTGGCTGATCACTCTCTAAGAAAAGAGCGGGATCCCTCTCCACCAACCTAGCTCTGTGAGAAGAAAGTTGGGTGATGAACAGAACAAGTGCTGAGGGCCTACTGGCACTGTGCTGTGTGGTTTACAATGAAGGGAATTCTGCAACTGTGGACTCAGGTCTGTGAGGGCAGGAATGCACCTGTCTCATCCCCAGCACAGACACTTCTAGATTTCATGCTCAAGTGCCCAGCAATTCCCACTGGAGCCCACAAGCCATCTGGGTAAACTCAGCCCTGGGTGTCTTTCCACTGGTGGCCCCAACCCCTCGCCAGACCCAGGACTAGTATGCAGAGCTGTCCAGCCACTGTCCCTGCCCAGGAGGGGCCTGTTACCTCTGTCCCATTTCTATTAAGTCAGGACTCAGAGGCTAGTCTTCCCAACCAGCAGGAGAGAGAGAAAGAGACAGTCTCGGATTTGCCAGCATGACCCCCAAGAGTGGGAACAGGGCTCAGAGAGCCATTCAGGGTTCCCAAGAGGCAACCAGATAATCAGACCTTCTTATTTGTGGATCTTCCCTCTTGGGTCGGGGGGAAGCCCTCTCCTTACAGAATCAGTGGGGAGCTCAGAGTCACCTGCTGCTCTTTGCACTATCTCCTCTTCCTGCCAGCACCTCCTTCCACCCTCTTTCATCTGCCTCCTGATGGAAGAAATCACCCTGGGTGCAAGTCCCATAATGCCAACACTGCCAATTGAACCCCTGCGGTGCGTGGCAGGTAGGCCCAGGGGGTGGGGCGGGAGGTGGGGAGGGTCAAGGGGAGGAGGAGGGATAAAAACCTTTCATCGGGTTGGGAGCTGTGAGGTTCCGCGAGCAGATCATTGAGAGCATCGCGTGTAGTCTATCCTCCTCTTCCTCCTCATCGTCCACCGAGGCCGCGCGGCTGGCCGCCAGGTGGTGGTAGTTAATAGTGACTGCTCAAAGAGAATAGAGAGGCAGAGGCGTGAGGCCCGGCTGGAAGCCCCTCCTGACGGGGAGTGGAACGGATTCTGGGTCACCTTGAACCTGCAGGGCATGGAAAAGGGAAGGGGGGACAGAGAGCTCTCTTGATGATTTTTGAGGAGGGTATGGAAGAAACAGGGATGGCAGCAGCTGCAGAGCTCCACCCGGGAGGAGCCCCTCTCCAGGAAGAACAGAAGAGAGGATGGTAGGGGAGCAAGGATGGTGAAAGACAGGGACCAGTCAGGACAAGACAGTGGCTCAGGAGCTCCCAGGCCTCGCCAAGGTGGGCATGACTGTTGGCAGATGGGTCCTGCTCATCATCAGCTCACATCCTGGTCAGCTGGACCAACCCTGAAGAGGACCCCAAATCCCCCTCTTCAGACTGTAAATCCAACCTTCTCCTCCAAGGTATTCCCAGAACTGTGCTCAAGGACCCCCAATCACCCCCCTGAGCTTCAGCTTCTTAGTACCCTGGCTCGCCCTTCAGGGAAGTGGCCCTTGAAATGAAATGACCAGAACTGGGAAATGCCGAGGCTTAAAAAGGTAAGTGGGGACTAAACAGTCCAAGTCAAGCAACAGGCCGAGATTAAATGCCAGACTGCAAACATGTTCTGGCACAAGGTGTGTCTCGTGAAGCATATATGGGGCGGTGGCGGGAGGGGCAGTATGGACCCTCACGTCTGTGCCCTCCATAGCTGCTGGGGCTACTTGTACAGTGGCTATGTGTTTGCAGTCTCAGTAAGCTCTGAGTAATCTGTCTGTCTGCTAATACAGAGATAACTTGTTGACAACATACTGGCCCAAGTCAGGAAATTTAGGGAGCAGGTAGTCTGGCTGGCAATAAATGCTCTGAGCTGAACTTATCCCCAAGATCAGTGAATTTGGCCTAGAGAAACCTACGGGGAGCAGCTGCCCTGAACAGACAAGGAAATCTGGTGTTGACAGACAGGCCTTTTGGGCCCAGAAGTGTGTGTCCAGGTTGGGCAGGATCTACAAGGGTCACGCCACCTTTTAAGCCCCAGTCCCCAAGGTCTCCAGGCAGCTCCAACTCTCACCCTCTTTGGAGGCACCCTGTACTCCAGCTAAAGCCCCTCTCCTCAGTAGCTGGGTTCTGGCTCTAGCAGAGTCAGTGAACAATTTGCACCATCCAAAAAGGAGTGCTGATCCTATACCCAGGCTGCTTTGGGGAGGTCAGGCGGCAGGCCAAAGAGAAATGGAGAGCTCTCCACCTTCTATTTCTAGTCTCACCACATTTTATTTTCCTGGGTAGGGCATGAAAAGATGATTAAGAGAATAAGGTACAGTGATGCCTGGATTGGCTGAGCAAGAGTCTTGGGGTGATGAGGTGGGGGAAGACAGCTGGGTAGAAGAGGCAAGTTCTCCAAGGGATGATTTGTGGGAAAAAGGTCCAGGAGAGGCTAAGTACTGACCCACTCGACTCTACCTGGCCTGGCCAGTGGCCCCTGCCTGCTGCCTCTCCTGGGTGATGCTGTGCTCCCCCACCACCCCGAGTATCTTTCTCTCCTCCATGGATGAACATCTGGACACTCACTGTGCTCATGTCTGTGGCCGGGGTAAATGATTCGGAACACATAGTCTGCAGCCCGCCCTGTGCCCATCTCTTCCACATCCATGGAGCGCATGCTGGTGCGTTTCCGTAGCTTTGGGAACACCTTGCCCTGTGGAGGAAGTGGGTGGTCAGCCTGTCCAGGGCACAGTCTGATCCAGGGTCCACCCAAGGCTGCTCCTAAGAATGCATGTGGGGAAAGGAAGGCAGGTGGGCAGAGAATCCACCACACACATCCCTTCACCCAGAGCCTCCCAGGCCCTGAGGTACCTTCCCCTGTTGGGCCCAGAGTGGGGGCTCCAGCTGTCCTTGAGGTAGAAGCCCATTCTCCAGGCAGGACAGAAAAGACAGCAGGTGTCCTCCCTGTGGGAAGTGCAGTGGTGGCTTCTGGATGCCATCCTGGCTCACAAGCACGAGTGTGCCTCCGCTCTCTGCAGGGTGAACGTGGGCAAGTGAGGCAGGCCTGAGACCCCTGGGCTACCAACTCCAGCCCACACGGACAGGACCCCTGCTGGGTAGGACAGTGGGGCTGGAGCACCGGGATGGCAGAAGGAGAAGACATCCGACGGACCATGCGTGGCACATGCCGGTGGAAGACAGTCTCTCTCCCCTGACCCGTGCTGAGGACAAGGGAGGCTCACTTTGCTGGTGGCAGTGGATGCAGACGATCTGACTGAAGGGCACCACCAGGGCATAGTCCCAGTAAACGCTGGAAAAGAACCAGATTGGTGTCACAGTGTCCCAAGCCCTGCCATCCTACCTTCCGCATCTCCTGGCCTCAGTACCCATGGAAATGCCCTTAAGACAGGATGACTTTAGCCGAGAAGTGACCTCAGCCAGCCATCTCCCTCTGGGCCCCATGCTGTCCTCATGACACCAAGCCTGGCAATCTCAGCTGCCTAGAGCTTGGCTCGGTCAAATTTCTTCATGCCCAGGCCTGGCTTGATCTTAGAGAGCTTGGGACTCTTTCCAGGCAGCCTCTCTTTGTAATTCTTGGCATCGGGATAAGGAGTGAGGCTGCCTCCTGGAGCAGACTGGGTCTTTCCATCCCCCTGCCTGCAAGGCAAACCCCCACTCCCTTCCCTGGCTCCTGGGAGCAAGTCCCAAAGCCCCCACCTCTTTTCCAGCTCAGAGTCCCCCAGAGTTCCATTCATGAGCTGGTTGGGAGTCCACTTCAGAGTCAGACTCTCTGCAGACTGGTGCAGGGAGAGGTAGCCAGGGACAGCCTCCATGTCCTCCTTCTGCAGGGAGGAGACACACCAGAGGATAGAGACAGTAAGGGGCCAGCTGAAAGGCTCCCAGGGACAGCCTGTGGAAGACGAGCTCCGGGTGGAAGCAGCAGTGGCCATGCTAAGACAGTCACAGTGTTCTTGAATGGGGGCTGGGTGGAAGCAGGGGAAAACACAAGCCACACGCAGATGTGGGCATCTCCTCTCCCTGGTTGGCCTGGTGCCACTGGCTCTGTCCTGTCAGCCTGAGGGATGCCAGGTATGTCCTGGGCCAGCCATATCCAAGCTGAGCAGTCACCCTGCCTGCTGGCTGCCATTCCTACCCCTGGACAGCCTGGTTCTCAGTTAGCCAGAGCAGATGTCATTCCTGGCTCCCGCCAGCTCAAGGCTGGGCAAGAGGCGTATGAAGCAGAAAAGCATGAGGGAGGGGCCCTTCTGCCTTCTCTCTGGTCAAGCCCTTGAAGAAAAGGATGAATGTGGCTGGAAGGTTCCAGTCCTGGGACCTCTGGAAGGATTGGAAGGGTGGCATTGGTCTTTCCTACCGGCTGCACCAGCACATTGTTCTTGCCATAGAGCAGCCGCGTCTTCGAGTTCTGGTGCAGGGACTCCACATACTCACGGGCACAGGCGGCTAGCCTGTCCTCTGATGCACTTCCGCTCGAGTGCCGCTTTCGAATCTGCACAGAAAGTCAACACTCAGCCCCCAGACCCAGGAAATCAGCTCCAGGGGCTGAGAACTTTAGGCTTCCACGTAGACCTCCTCTAGCTGACCCTGAGGGTCCATCCTGCCCCTAGTTTGCTCTAAGCTATCCTCTGCTCTCCAGCCATGGGACAGCTGTGTTTCTGGTGTTTATGTGCCAGTGTGAGGAACAGGCTCTCCTGGGACATCTCCAAGGCCCAGCCTCTGTCTGCAAGGAGAATGGAGGTCAGCTGCCCTCCCTCTAGGCCCATGTGCATAGCCTGGGTGAGCACAGGGGTTGGGGAGATGGACACCTACACCTAGAGCTGGGCGTTTTGCAGGGGAGTCCGGGCGATTAGGGGGACCCCGGATACGGTGCCTCTGGACCAGCTCATCAGCAGAGGGGTCAGTCCAGTAGTGATCGGCTGTCTTGAGCTTGGTGTACTCCAAGGCACAGGGTCCCACTGTGGAAACAGGGACAGCCAGCTCAGATGGTGTCCCTCAGCACCTGTCCCTCAGTGCCGCTGGCCCAGCCTAGGCCTCTTTGCTTTTAGGCTCACCTAAAAGAGAGGCCAAGATGGGGCCAAACACACGGTCTGCCAGTAACGCCTCTTTCTCGTAGTATTTGCTGCCAGGGAAAGAGACAAGGGGCTCATTCCAGGATAGTTAAACTCACCAAGTAGGGATGTCCTCACAAAGGTCAAATTCATATCAGTCACCAAGAAGAAATGGGTCCACAAGGACTGAGCTTTGTGGGGTGTCTGGTGTGGTCTATGCTTTCAGGGTGCAGCACGGGGAGATGCAGCATGCCAATAGGTTGTTACGGACAGTCAAGCATGCTGAGAGGCAGGGCTGAAGGACTGTTCAGGAGGTGGGCCCCAAGGAGGGGCTGCCTGAGGGATGGGGCAGTCACCTGCAATTCTCCACCAGGTACTGCACGATCCTGTCCAGCACTTTCTCAATCAGTGCTGTGCGTACCCATATGTGTTTCAAGGCCTGCAGGCTGAGGGCTGGGGCCTTCCCGCTGGCAGAGCCCTGTCTCCACAGGGCCTCTTGGTTGCCCGCTGAGGGTTTTCTGTAAAGAGGGGGTGGGCTTCAGTTGTGCAATGGCCTGGGTGTAAGCCCCAGACTGGTGGCACCGGGAGTGGAGTTTGGTGCCACAAGAGAGAACCCAGAAGACTGACCGGGATGGGAGTTGGGGGTGGGGGATGGGGCCTTGTGCTCAAAAGCAGCCAACCTCCGCCTTTAGGCTGGTCCCTCACCCAAGAGGCCCTGCCATAAATGAGGAAGTGCAAATAGCAGAAGGCAGTGGTGGGAGGTTTGGCCCAGGGCTCACCTGCCCTCTACTTGCTGCTGCAGCTCCTGTACCTTGTGGCAAATCTCCCCAGCCACTGGGCAAGTCTTTCCCACCTTGGTGAAGAGGGCTGCCATCTTGTCACTGCGCAGAAAACCGGCGGCACGGCGTCTCAGCTGATGTAGGAGGCAAGCCTCCACTGCACCTGGGCCACAAAGGGAACTAGCACCTGAGCCTGGGCAAGAGGGAGAAAGGGACAAACCCTCCTCTTCCTCCTACCTTTGGAGAGCAAAGGAGCCAGGCGGGCCCTGACTCATGCTGGCACTAGGGGGATGGGTTTCAGTCTCAGGCTGGCCAGGCAGACATACCCGGCCTCCTTCCAAAACTCCTCTTCCTGTCTCTCTGCCCCTGCCCAGGTGACCTGCATGGGTGGACGTTCGCCCTGTATGCAGCATTACTCCTAGGGCTGTGGGGACCAAAGCTGCCAGTTAAGTGGCTTCACCCATGAGGGCAAGCTCAGACAGCACCTACAGGATGGGGACACAGGGAGCAGCAGCCCAGCAGCCCTCCTGGAAAGCATGGATGATGTGGTTGCTAAGGAACAGAGCTCTGGAGAAGCTGAAATATTGATGAAGCTGCTACAGAGATCAGACCTGACAGTGGTTGCTGAATTATTGATGAGCCCTGTAGTTTGAGAGAGAGATATTTCTATTTCCTATGCTGGGAGGGCTTCCCTTAACTCATTCATGTTTTTAAGGGCTAGGCTGGCTATTCTCTCTGTCTGGATCCTGCAGGAAGGAAAGAAGGGCTTGCTGGGGGAGGATGGGGAGTTGCTCTTGGCATGTATAGACTCTAAAAAATTAGTGTATATGTGTGGGGAGGATGGGCTTGGCCATTACTGAGATGAAGCTGATGGTTTTACAAGTGGGGAAGGAAAGGACGAATAAGGGGTTGGGATTGGATCTTAGTCACATAGTGGCAGAGCCAGGGACTAGGACCCAGGGCTGCAAACCTGGCCCAGGCCTTTTCACTTCCTCCAGGTGTATTGGGGGTGGAGCTCACGGGTGGGGGGAAGCATGTCCCTCACTTCACAGGTGCTCTGTTCACACAGATTGAAAACAGTGCTGGTCTGGAGGCAGGAGTCAGAACAGACTCTGAAGCTTGGTGTGGCCATTTGCTCTCTCTGAGAGACTTGGGTAAGTGACTTAATGCTCTGAGACTCAGTTTTATCATCTGTGAAATGGAGAATATTTTTTAAGACGGGTGTGAAATGTTACAAGAGATGAAGTATGCTCCTAAAACCCCTCATGGAAGGTCTGGTACTCAGGACACACTTGATGCATGTCGGTTCCTGACTCCTCACCCATTTTTTGTTGAGATCCTGTTCTACAGCTAAACTGTAAGGACTAGGTATTTGCACGACCTCTCCCTGCCAGGGACAGGAGAGGACACATTGGAGAGAGGATCACTCCTGGGTGGAGCTGGCTGTTTTCTTCGAAACAGGGGACTCCAGGCCCTATCAAGTTCACTGTGACTGGTGTCATTACAGACCTGGACGAAGGAAGCAATCACTGAAAACACTCTCACCTGCTTTTTGCCTTCATTTTTAGTAACTGACAGGCAGTCACTGCTGTCCTATAAAAGTTTTGTTTGGCCCTCTCCCGTACTGAAGTCAAGAAGTTGGAGAGAGTCACTGGGGGGGCCAACCTGAGTTGGGGGGCCACTGAGCCAGCTCTGTGAAAGCACCCCAGGGGACTGGAAACAAAGGACCCCTCCCTTTCCTGGGAGCTTCCTGCTGGGGCTCTGCCTTGCCCCTGCTCAGACCTCAGGAGGACTTTATTTTACAAGGTGCAGCCTTCCTTCATGGTGTGTTCATGGATCTGCAAGTGTGTATGTATGCAGACAGATATATCTGCATGTTTCAGGTGCGTACGGGGCCCTTGGGAGAATTTCTGCTTAAGTGTTCACACATTCCCCTCCATAGCTGTCTCCTTGGTCCTCGGAGGTCCCATGTGGCCCTGGGGTTGCTGAAGTTGCAAGTGCACACCTGTAGGAAGGTGGTGACCATTCCCTGGGGTGGTACTCCCTACTCAGAGCAAGAAAGAAGCAGTACCGAACAGGGCCAGAGTGGCAGCAGGTGGCACCAGTCCTGCAGGGAATCATGTGCCTTGGTGATGTGACTAATTGCTGGCATAATGAGTCATTAGCCTTCCCACCTTCCCCAGATGATTATAAACGCAGCCAGGCTGGGAAGCCTGGGAATGGCAGGCAGTGGCACTCCCATCCTGCTCACCCCAGAGAACCTTGATGTCTGTGCTCAGAGGCCTCAGTCAACCTCCCAGGCAGCCTCTGAGCACAGGCATCGGGGTTCTCTGGGGTGAGCAGAGGCACTCCTCAGCAATTACTACAAGTAGAGAATACTGAGAGCAGCCCACTGTCACACCCAGTACCCCTGCTCACCCCATGGTCCCTACGTTCCTTTTGTAAACCCAGGCAAGGTGCCAGGCAGTGTTCGGGGAAGGAGAAATCCTTCTCAACTCTCCACTTTCCAAGCAAAGTAAACAACTCCATGCCAGGTATTCTTAACACCATTTCCATGGGCAACTTGGCCAGTGATTGTTGAAACCACATTTGTCTTTTCCCATTCCCACAGAGCTGTCCCCGACAGAGAATTAGCACCTGCAATGAAAATGTTGTAGTATGAAGCATATAGGCAAAATAGTAATCATAATAAATAAGTGATAACAATTGGGAACTACTATCCTAAGAGGGTTTGTGGCTGAGCTTTTCAGACCTTCCAAAGACCCCCTAAAACTGCATACAAATTGTTGGTGTGCTCCAGCAAGCTTAGGTGAGTTCGTTCTTTCTGGATAAAGGGTCCATGGCTTTTAGCTTGTGAAAGAGGTACCTGACCCCAGAAAGTTTTAGAATCCCTGCTCTAAAACTTTTAGATTGAGCAGAACCACAGATATTTCTACTGATTGAAACTCAGAGATGAAAATATAAAGACTCCCCCCCATAATACAGTGAACACCAAACTCAAAACTGTAGGTATAAAGCCACCAGCAACAATGTCCTACTCTCCTGCTGTCCTTGCTCTCCAAGAGGGCCTCTCACAGATCATCAAGCACCCTTCCCCAGGGAGAAGTCCACAGAGGCCCGTGCCTCTCTTCTGACTGAAGGCCAGAGCACCAAGCAGGAGATCTTTAGTGCCTTATTCTTTCTGCCCTGGACCACCACCATGACCCTTCCCCAGGGAAGAGGGCTGTGGCAGGAGATGCCCAACACGGCTAATGCACCAAGTCAGCAGAACCTAGCCCCCTTTCAACTGAGTTGTCTGGGCCCTGGACCCCCAGCATGAAGGCTTTAGGACCCCCTGTCCCAGTGGGTCCCAGCACCACCTATAGCCACTTAGGATGCACCAGAAGATGGGTGAGGCAGCCCTGGCATCATTTGGCTCATTTCATTTGGGAAGAATGCATACTGATAAAAATCAACAGTGTTTCTGGTCAGTGGTTGGGCAGAAAGGTTTGGGTGCATGAATTGAAACACAGAAACAGACACATCTCAGCAAGCATTATCTTCTCCCTCCTCACCTTGGTCTTTCGGTGCCTGCTGGAGTTACAGTACCAGATGAACCCTGGGTACTCTCTACTCTGACATCCCGTCCCACTGACAGGAAAGCTCAGGGAACTGCAGCTCTGCGTGGGCAGGACTGGAACTAATCTGAATTCTAACACCTTGCTGTGGACACCTCTCCTCCCCCAAAAGGCCTGGCACCATCTTCTGAGGGAAAAGCTGGGAACTACAGGGCCAGATTAGCCCTGGGATGCTCCTTCACCTGCCTCTGTTATGCCTCCACCACCATAAAAACTATTAAGTTATGGGGCTTAAGAAATGCTAAATGGGCTGGAGAAAGCAAATGCTAATGGAATGGGAGTCTATAAGGTCTCTTCCCACAAACCCCTTATGTACTGATTTAACCATTCCAAAGAGTCCAATTTGGAATGGAAGGAGACACAGTAGAGATGGAGGGGATTTGGGAAATTACTGAATCTTCTCGAACCTTGCTGTAGGGAGGGCTCATTGGTATCACCCTTCTGGAGGCAATGTGGCCTATTGGTCAGCCCTGCAAGAAACCTCTGACCCTATAACCCCTCTTCTTAGAATCTAGCCTACAGATAAAGCTGCAAGGTTATTTAGTTGTAACAGCAAAAGATTGGAAACCATCCTCAGGTCCATCAAGAGGAGACAGGTTAAGTAAATATGTCATATTTTACTTTATTATTTTATTATTTTATTTTATTTATTATTATTTTTAAATTTTTATTAAGGTACGATTGATATACACTCTTATGAAGGTTTCACATGAAAAAACAATGTGGTTACTACATTTACGACCCATATTCTCAAGTCCCCACCCATACCCCAATGCAGTCACTGTCCATCAGTGCAGCAAAATGCCACAGATCCACTATGTGCCTTCTTGTGCTGCACTGTTCTCCCTGTGATCCCCTACGCCATGTGTACTAAACATAATACCCATCAGTCCCCTTCTCCCTCCCTCCCCATCCGCCCTCCCTCACCCCTCCCCTTAGGTAACCACTAGTCCCTTCTTGGAGTCTCTGAGTCTGCTGCCATTTTGTTCCTTCAGTTTTGCTTCATTGTTATACTCCACAACTGAGGGAAATCATTTGGCACTTGTCTTTCTCCTCCTGGCTTATTTCACTGAGCATAATACCCTCCAACTCCAGGGTAGGATTTCTTTCTTTCTTATGGCTGAATAGTATTCCATTGTGTATATGTACCACATCTTCTTTATCCATTCATCTACTGATGGACACTTAGGTTGCTTCCATATCTTGGCTATTGTAAAAAGTGCTGCGATAAATATAGGGGTGCATGTGTCTTTTTGAATCTGAGAAGTTGTATTCTTTGGGTAAATTCCAAGGAGTGGGATTCCCGGGTCAAATGGTATTTCTATTTTTAGTTTTTTAAGGAACCTCCATATTGCTTTGCACAATGGTTGAACTAGCTCACATTCCCACCAGCAGTGTAGAAGGGTTCCCCAAAATATGTCATTCTTACAGCTCAATATTGTACAACCCTGAAAAAGAATGAGGATGTTCTCTGGGAACTAATAATGGAAAGGTCTCCAAATGCAAGATGCTGAGCAGGATGATTGCATAATACCTTTTGATTACA